CCTGCAACCAAGGTACATGCCCTTGACCGGAATCGAACCTGGGACCCTTTGGTCGGCAGGCTGACGCTCTATCCACTGAGCCAAACTGGCTAGGGCTATTTCTGTTTTTTAAGTTACTCACATAGCAACTGTCCCAGCTTTATGTTTTATTGCAGATGCATAGTTTTATGTACCAAAGCCATATTGTGCATAAAGTAGATTTGCTTGTGGGCTGGCCTGAGAACTGGACCGCCATTTAAAACATCAGTTTTAAAGAGAAACGCATGCTGAGTGCCAGACATCTAGCTTAAAACTTTCTGAAATACAACCCATATATAAGTTGAATATACAGTATATTGCAAATATGGTTTTGCTTACATAAACCTCAAAGTCCAAAAAGGCCTGAACAGGGCTCAGTTTTGATAACAGCAGCTGGTACAGATTGGTTATCCCAGCAAAGAGGCCTAATATCCACAGGGTTTGAAGCGCAAATACTGACAGCCTTTGAAAGCCACCATCATGATCATTCTGTAACCTGTGGCTGTTTTAGGAGATAGTAGGCAAAAGATCTCACCCACATACACCTTCCTTGTTGCCCAAATACAGAGCATCAGCAACTAAATTAAGGTTGGGGGGCGAGGGTAGTCAGCAAGGACATAGTCAGATGCCACTAGAATTCCCTGAGTTTTTCATTTAAATATTTGCCTCATATCAAGCTTCATGGAGGTTCACTTAGCCTGCTTTGTTGACACTGTTGAAATATCTGAGTAGGAGGGTCAATGGAATCATGGGTAGATGGTGGGTTCAGGAAAAGCTAGGTGCACTGCACAACCCAAGTAAATGTGAGGGTGTGGCAATGCCTTGGGCACATTCACTGCTACTTTCACTTCTGCCTCCATGAAAAGGTTCCAGTGTTGGCTGCTGGTTTCTCCTTGATGGTTTCCCTTCCCCAAGTGTCTCTGTCTTCTATAGACGTAGGTGCATAAGCAGATGGCTTGAAGCTTCTGACTCCAGGCTTCACAGTCCAGAAGTGCAAGACTTTAATGTGGCACATTCTACCATCTAAAACAGAGGTTCTCAACCTGTGGGTCGCGACCCCTTTGGGGGTCGAACGACCCTTTCACAAGGGTCGCCTAAGACCATCGAAAAACACATATATAATTACATATTGTTTTTGTGATTAATCACTCTGCTTTAATTATGTTCAATTTATAACAATGAAAATACATCCTGCATATCAGATATTTACATTATAATTCATAACAGTAGTAAAATTA